AAAAAAATAAAAATAAATTAAAAAAAAAGACTTGTAACTGTGTTCATAATAGCCAGTAGAAACAACCCAATGGTTAACATGTAAGAAAATCAGACTGCAATACTAGTCAGCAATAAGAAAATGAAAATAATGTAAGACGAATGACTCTCAAATAATTCTAAATGTATGAAGCCAAACCAAAAAGTGTACATACTGTACAATTGTTTTCCTACAAAATTCTAGAAAATTCAACCTACTCTATCCTGACAGAAAGCAAGTCAGTGGTTACCTAGAAACGGGGTGGGGCGGAGCTGGATTACAAAGGAGTGTGAGGAAACACGCAGAGATAACAGTAAATGTTGTTACACAACTCTACATACTTGTGAAAACTCATCAAATTGGATACTCAAAATCAGTGAATTTCACTGTTATAAATTATGCCCCAATATAAATAATTCATAGGGCAGCGAGCATTGTCTTTCTGGAATAACAGCATACCTTTTGCTTCCTATACTTATGACAAAAATACAGGGAAGAATTAACCATCCACTTGATAATCTTTAAAACAGTACATTACAATCTGTGAATTATGCAAAATTAGAATGGTGAAACAACCAAAAACTTGGCATAGAAATTGCTCCTGAAAGCTAGAATTAAATCAGGAGTAGGAAACATTCAGAAAACACTCCTAATTCTTATCTCATGAAGTTCTCAGGGGAGCACTACTTACCTGATTAATTCTCCTGAGCAAAGATGTTTTTCTCCTTAAGTCTTAAAAATAAATATTTTACTTGTTTTATAATAATAAAAGTAATTTTTGAAATATATCTCCAGGTTGACCCTCAAGCTTTAAATTTAAAAAACAAATCTGGAACATAAGCAATAAATGAAGGCATAAACATTTATAGGGAGATAAAAAAGCAGTGTGAGCACTTTTCAAGTTCAAATAACAACACAATATGTAGCACCCACATTATACGCATTTGGTTGTTTCTAGGGCACTGTACTACTTCATCTTTACCTTGCAATAAAAATTAGATAAACAGATAGCTCACAGCTTAAGAAGTGTAAGATCTGAATTTGGTTGGCTTTCCTTTTGTAAAGCAAGAGCACCACAGGTGCTCCACACAGAGCATGTATCTTCTAACTTCAATGCTTCTACCTTTCGTGCTGCTCTCGCTTTCTGGATTCTTCCCGTCTTTCACCACCTGCCCTATCTGGTACAAAATCCCTGACTCCTTGAGCCAGAAGCAGTCCATCTTGTGAATTCCCACTGCTCTCTTCCGCGGTGTCTCGTGACACTTAACACTTTCCTGTACGATTACACTTCTTTAAGTGCTGGAAATTCCGTTCTGCCCCAAGCATGCTTGAAAGGAAGTTCCATGCTTCACTCAGCCTTGTATCCTTCAGAGTGCCTGGAACTAAACACTCACTGGGTACCCTGTCTACGATGAAAAGGCTAACACTCAACAATGCTTTTAAGCACCGTGCTTTCAGTGGATGGGAAAAATTATCATGATTGGTATCCACTCTAACTCTACTAAGAGACACCAACATGTAAGTAAATTAACATAACTTTACAACAAAGGGCAGGGTGGCGGTAAGAGGAGCATTGTATCTGTAGAACCTTCTTCAGACTCCATAAACTACATGCTACGCCACTGACCTCTGTGCTTATGGAGGTCTCACTGACCAAAAAGTTTCAAGAGGTTATAATAAGGATCCTACAGTGCCATAAAATTTCATACACACGCTGACACTCCCTCTAGATGGCCACTTTACTTGGAAACAGGGAGCAGCCAATTTCTATTCTCAGTGAAACCATCTGCAATAACTAGACCTGGTCTTGTTATCTTTAACCAAAGGCGCTCATAGAGCCATCTCACCTGTCTGGCTGTGCACCATTTCCATGTAGCACATGGCAAGGGCCCAAACTTTCCTTTTCCAAATCTGCTTAACCTTTACAGCTCTTCTCTAGGCCTATTTTCTGAGCTCTCTATTACACAAAAATAACTACATTTTCCAAAAGTATACTGGAGCGCTATGATTTAATCTGTACCTCTCCGTTTAAAATGCATAAAGATAAAATTAATTTGTAAGAATCATTGCGTCTTGGAGTTAGGAAGAGCTGGTTCTAAACCTCACACCCGGTACTGCTGTGCGATGCACAGTTGGGCAACTTACTAAATTTCCTTGGAACTCAATTTCCTCATCATTAAAATGAGAATTAAGGGAGCAAGGGAGATGGCTCAGTGGATTAAGCGCTTGCATGGCAAGCACAAGGGCCTGAGTTCAGCCGCCCGGTTCCGTCCCCCCCAAAAAAAAGAGAGAGAGAGAGAATTAATTGGGGTCTACAAATTATTCAGCATTATTCATTACATAGGTAAAGACTTTTACTTGATGTTATTATTTTTACTTCCCTAGAAGGGAGATGCAGGCTAAAATTCAAGGTGAGCAAGGCTAAATCCAAAAGTAGTACAATTTGGGTCCGGTGATGTACAGCAGCCTCCCAACTTTTAAACGTCCTCTCGCGTACGTAATGTACGCTCAGTACATCTTAGCAATCTCCCTCTGCAAACCGTGAAAAGCAATAGGCAAAGACACTCAGCCCAGATACACAGGTCCAAGGTTGCGGGCCTAACACTGCTTTCTTTCCCAACAATGTCTGAGCCCCCGAGCAAACCTGACGCAGAATAAAAGGTTAAGAGAAGACATGCCTTCTATTACATAAGCCAGCCAACAAATAAGTTCATTTTTAAAGTGTGCCTTATTCAATTCCTCCTGTGCAAGCAAAATCACTTCTGCAAATCTCGCTGTAAGAGAATGCCCAAATGGGACAGAGGCTGAGTCACCAACTGGAAACCCGAATGGGGCTGCACCGCGACGACTCCAGCGGAGCCGGGCACCGCACGCCACTCGCCGCCGCGGCCACCGCCTTCCCCGGCCCCCACGCGAGTCCCGCGCGGGGCGCGCGCAGCCCACTCCGGGCTCCGACTCGGCCACCTCCCCGGGCGCCCCGCCCGGCCGCGCAGGGTCCCAGCCCCGGCTTCTCCCGCAGCCCGACGACACCGCGCACTCACCCGGGCGGTGACCTTATACACAGTGTAGCCCCTCGGGTGTCGCTGGGGCTCGGTGACAGTGTAGAAACGAGCCAGGTCGGCACTCCTCTCCCGCGGCGCTGTCATCCTCCCTCCGCCTCTGCCGCCGCCGCCGCCGCCAGCCGGGAATCATCGGGACGACCAGGAGCCGACGCGGTCCAGGCGCCCACTCAGCCGCCCAGCGACAGGGGGGCGGAGGCTCCACGGCGGCGGCGCCGCAGCTGCGCGCTCTGCTTCCGGGTCGGGAAAAGAGCTTCCGGGTCACGCCGCGACCCGCGCTCGGCTTCCGGCGCGCCTCGGTCCTGGGGCTGCGGGGAGCGCGCGGTGTTATCACCGTCGCGGAGAGCCGAGACGACCCCACGGCGTCTCCCTGTGTCCGCGGTCCAGCTCGAGCGCCGTTGCGGCCGTGCGGCACCCGGAGACCCTCCCCGCGCTTTCCAAGCCCACGGAGCCGAAAAGATGGAGGGGTACCCGGCCTAGCACCTCGTTTCCTCCCCACCCCAGGATCTGTCATTTCCAGCTCCGAGAGCGACGCCTCATCCCAGGTGGACGTGCCCCTTCCTTCTTCCTACGACGAACCCGCGTCCTTACACCCCTTTCTTTGCATGCACCTGCACAGCAAGCCCCCAGCCCCAAATCAGTCTTTTTACCGATCCTCTTAGAGTCTAAACTCTGGAACCTGCGTCTGTAAGGGAGGTGGGGGAAGTCTCCAAATTCACCACAGAGTTTTCTGTTTCCGCTGGTTGCTGTGCCCTGCTCACTATTTTGACATGCTCTAGGTACCTGGGAGAGTAAAACGGTTTGCGATGGAAGGGTAGCCCCTAGAGGGAAGTGGGACTCCTGACATCCGAACAGTTTGGGATTAAAGCCCGGGAAATTTATGTGCAATTGGAGCTTGGCGTTCCTGGTGCTGAGCCCTGAGAGGGTTTGTCAAGGTATCAACATACATTCAGAAAGGTGAAGCAGTCTTTGTTGGCTCTGCTCATAGTGGTTAGCTGATGACCTTCCCTTTTCTCTTCTAACCTCTATTCTGTGGGCCTGGCAATTACATTTAAATTATCCCCAAAGCTTTTATTACAAGGAATAATACCTATTTATCAAAAAATGTCGATCCCTGGCCTGCCATGCCGACCCGCCCCCCGGGGTGAGCTGAGACAGCAATTGAGACTGGGAGTGGTGGCGCTCACCTGTAATCCCAGCTCTTGGGAACAATTGAGACTGGGCATGGTGGCGCTCGCCTGTAATCCCAGTCTGTGGGAGGCTGTAAACAGGCAGATCATTACGAGTCCATCTAGTAGTGAGACCCTGAACACCCTGTAGACCCTTCCCTAAAATACAAAAATGTCAACAACAAAGAAGCCTGGAGGAGGAGCCAGGGAGATGGCTCAGTAGAATAAGCGCTTTCCTGGCAAGCACAAGGCCCTGCGTTCAATCCCCAGTTCCGCTAAAAAAAAAGAATCCTGGAGGGAAAGAAGTCTGGGTTCTGTTGGTTTCCCTGGTAAATGCTAACAAATGTTTAAAAAATTAATACCAATCTTTGTCAAAAATCCTTTTTAAAAAAAAGGTGAAACTCTATATTATGAGTCGCTGTTACCTGCATGCCAAATAACAAAAGACATTTAAAAAAAAACTACATGTCAATATATCTTATATATAAAAATCTTCAACTAAAAACTAACAAATGGATTATGCAGATAGAAAAGGGGCCTGAAAAAACAGACAAGAGAGGAAAAAGGGAAAAGTAAAAATAATCAAGACAACATATACATCCACCAATTCTCCAAGGTGAATGTAGTTACTATATATTACAAAATATACTAATAATTAAAAAACAAGCTACCAAAAGGAATTCAGAAGCACATTAAAGTAAATAAATATCATGATCACATGGAATTTATCCCCAAAATGCAGAGTTTTAACAAAAGAAAATAAATGAATGTAATATACCCATATTATAGCCATATAATACATAAAAGGATAATACTATGAGCAAGGAGGAGCTTTTCACAGAATTCAAGATTGGGTCAACATTAAAAATTGATGCACATGTTATAGTGTCTCACTAGACACTGGAAGAAGCATTTCAAAAATCACATGCCCATGATTAAACTCTTTGTAAACAAAATAAGGGAAACTTTTTTTTTTTTGCGGGAGAAAAGTTATCTCCATTTATTTTGTTTTATATACATCCATAGTTGAATCTTAATACAAAAAGAAAAAATTAGAATCTGACTAATGTTTACAAAGAAGATAGCTTCAAATAGATTTTGTCACGTTAGCCTGGTGCAGAGGAAAGGACAACTGTACTGACAGACTCAAGGCAACGCAGTCTGGCGCCCAGGACTGTCTGCCAAACTTCCCGTAAGCTTCATTTTTGTCTATCACGAACAATAAATTCATTGTTGATTCCCAGTCGTGTGTGTGCACATGTGTATGCAGCAGCTCCTTTCATAGAAAGAAAAGCCCTCTAGAGGTCATCTTGTATTCTTACCTACAGGAATTATGGTAAGATACAGGGTGGATTATATGGGACTGAGGCTGGATTGTATAAGAAAAAATAATCAGCTGACAAATGAGGGCAGCAATAAAAAAAAAGTGTCTTTTTGCAGCAATAAATACAGTCAAAAGTTTTCTGTGAAACTCTAAACCAGCTTCTTCACTGAAAGGGGAAATTTTCGTAATTTTTGGGAAGTGTATCTGTTATGGTTTGTGCCTAATGTCCTGGCAAAGCCTCGTGCAGCCATGTAGTAGACTCCTAGAGTTAGTGATAGATGCATGGTCCGGTGCTGGGATTATGGGTCTGAGTGCTACACGCACCCTCCAGCGGCAGCCTGCATACAGTAGAAGGTTGGGAAAGAGGCTTGCTTTTCTCTTTAAGCTGATTATCATTGGTGTTTTCTTACAGTAATTGACAGCTGATTAGTACAGTAACTTACACCTTGATGCTCGCCATCATACAGGACATATTTTCAGATAGTGCCCTAGTCTTAGCATGAGCAGAGTCAATGGAGAAGGCATCATTAGTCATTGAATCTTGTTAACAAGCACAGTATCAGTATGCTCAAGTGGATAATCAGGCAACCACAGAAAGTGGGGTTTTTTGTTTGTTTTTGCAGTGCTGAGGATTGAACCCAGAGCCTCTGCACTGTCTTGTTTTTTATTATTAGGAATTCTAGCAAAGGCTGAGTGCTTTGATTTTTCATAAAGGACGACTGTACAATATATGGTCACGAATGATTTTTATCAGGTTTTTAGACTGATTAGCTACTGTGAGACTATTGTTTACTTTGTCCTGATTTCACTCTTTAATTTCTTCATATATTAACAACCTTGATGTAATATTAGGCTGGAAATAATGAAGAAAAAAAAAAAGAATCATTTTCCATCATGAAGAATTGAGAAGGTCCTGCTTTACCTTGGTCTTAACCATCCAGCAGGAAAGTATAAAAACGATCAGTATCCTTCTTTTGTTTTTTATTTTGGGACAGGATTTTACTAAATTGCCCAGGCTGATCATCCTGCCTTTGCCTCACAAAGTGCTGGGATTACAGGCAGAAGCCACCATACCTAGATTGTCTTTGCTCTTCCTCATACAAATTGTTAATATTCTCCTATTACTACTATGACCACCCCATTCCTCTCTGTCTGAGACCTCCTGCTGAGGTCTACTTCTGCTCCTTCATACTTTCCCAAAAAGATAACTCGTAGGAGCCCTACAATAGAACAGGACTGGGGAGATAGCTCAGTAGACTAAGCACTTCCCTGGGAAGCACAAGGCCCTGAGTTCAATCCCCGGTTCAGCAATAAATAAACAGAAGAGGCAAGGAGCCAAGGTCAACCATGTAACATCCCCAAATCTTTGCGTTAGAGGGACTCACAAATCTACAAAATCCCATTCTAGAACTGAGACTTGCAAATAAGAAAGAAAAGAGTTAGCAGTAGAGGAGAGAGCTAATCTGAATTTTGTATCCTGATTACCAGATTTCTGTACTTGAACTTCT